GAAAATGAAAATGAAAATGAAATTCAAAGACCTTCGCCTTGTCACATTGTTTTTTTTCCCCAAAATTTTTTTCTTTCTTGATCTGATTTTCTTTATGAAGAATCTCTCTTTTTTTGGCCAGAAAATGTTTGGACATTGTTTTTTTTTATCGTTGACATTGGAAATCTTTGTTGTTGTTTTTTATTTTCCTTGAAATGAAAATATCTTTTGGAGAAAATAACAAAAAGAAGAGAGAGAGAAAAGCAAAGTTTTTCTGGTCGCCAAATTTTTTTTCGTAGTTGTTATTTTTGTTGTTGTTTGTTTGTTTGCTGTTGTTCAATAATTAATAAGTAAAAATCATGTAGTGTTTTTTTTTTTGCTTTTGTTTTCATTTTTCAAATCAAATCAATCGATTGATTGATCGATTGTCATCGAATCTTGTAATTTTTTTGTTGTTGTGTTTTATTTTCTGATATCGATCATCTGATTCCATCATCATTTGACTTTTGGTTCTCGAAGTATATCATATTTTCTTCTAGTAGATCGATCAATCAATCAATCAATCGATTGATTGATCAATTTCAATTGTTGAAATATTGTTTTTGTTCGTTGTTTTTTGCTTGTTGTTTTTACGTTTTGTTTTTCTCTGTTTTGTACATGTACTATATCAACAAAATTCTGATCATTATTCTAGGTTAAAGGTCAAGAAATTGATTTTACAACCCGATTTGAATGACGAACCTGACCCTTTGATCAACCAAAAACGTTGGGAAACTAACCATCATACACAAAAAGGTATTAAGGTATTTTTAATAACCCTGTGTTTATTATTATTATTTTTTTTAACACGAAAACACCAGTTACGCAGACACCTGATGATTTTTCAGGTTTTCTCTCTCTCTCTCTCTCTCTCTCTCTCTCTCTCTTGGTAATTTATTTAAAAAATTGAAAATTTAATGGAAAAAAACATCCTTTTTGATAATCATAAATATTCATTTTTCACAATCACAAAAAAAATTCCTAAAAGATTTGATTGAATAATTTGTTTTTGCATTCATTCGTTTTGCTTTTTGATTATCATCATTCAATTCAATTCAATTGAATTCAATCGATGATTCAATTCGATGATTCAATCAAACAGAGAAAACGAAAGAAAAAATCGTTAACATTTTCACAAAAATGTAAAAAAATTGATTGAATATTCACTATGTAATTTAAAATTCATTCGTTTTCAACAACAGGGTTTATTTTAAGAAAAGTTACAAACAAATAATCTTAATTAACATGTAAATAAATAAGCAACAGGTAATGAAAAAAATGTTGATATCCAATGTCAAAATCATTTAAACAGTCATATTTATTCTGTGACAATCATCATTATCATCAAGAGAAAACGTTGTTTCTTTTTTCCATTCCTTATGTTAAGAATTTCTTTAAATAGCCAAAATGAAACAAACAACAACAACAACAACAACAAAATAAAGATTCCTTGTTTAATTATCTTTATCTTTTTGTTTCGATCATCATCATCATCATCATCATCATTATTGATTCATCGATCTATCGATTTGATGACGAAGATGTAATTTGCTTTTTTTTCTTCATTTCTTCTTCGTTTTTCTTTTCATTTTGAATTTTTCATTTTTTCATTTTTTTTCTGATTGATAGTCATGATGAATATATGCATGCTTATTTAGATTCATAATTTTGACGCATGCGCAATAAAAAAATTACGCATACATTATTATTATTATTATTATTATTATCCTGTACATATATCGAACAGACGTCGACAACAAACACAAACCCCAATGATAATGATAATGACGATGATTATTATTATCATCATCATCATCAAATAACGAAGAAGACGACCACCACTATCACCACCACCATCATCGACGACTACGACATGATTGGTGGTTGTTTGTTTGTTTGTTTTCGGTAGAAAATATATAAATTTGAAATTTTTTTTTGTTTTTTGCTTTTTAAATAGAAACAAAACAAAAAAAAAAAAACATTAAAATCAATTTGTCATTTCGTTCCTCGTGTTCACATTTTTTTAACATGACATTTTTTTTTTGATTTTTTTAGTTTCAAAGTTACAACATTATTATTACAAAGATGATGCTCAATGATGGTTAAAATAATTGATTTCTCGACGAAAAATTACAAACAACAGAAGATATTTCGACTTGTAACCAAAGATATATATTTTTTACAAATTTTTAATGTGATTTAAAAAAAACTGTGTTTTTACAAACTGTGTGGTGTTACAAAGTGAAAAAAAATTTTAATTTAATTTAATTTTAAAAAAAATTCTCAAATCATCGACGTCCGTTAATTTTTCGTTGTTGTTAATATAAACCGAAATTGTGACCGAATTAAACGAACGACACGAAACGAAAAAATGGCAACAAACGTAATGAAAAATACATATTCATTATTTGGTTTAATAGAATTACCTGATTATCGTTATACAAATTATCATATAATAAATGAAAGTCATTCATGGAATACTGATGTAACCAAATTTGCTGGTTTTCAAAATTCATTTGCATTTGAACGGGCATTCGTACCGATCGGTAATTGGGTACAATTACAAACACAATTATATTGGTCATATTGTTTTCCAATATCAATAGCATATGTTTTAATAATTTTTGGTATTAAACATTTAATGTATAATCGTCAGGCATTTAATTTAAGAAAATTATTAATGTTATGGAATTTATTTTTGGCCATATTTTCAATTTTGGGTACATATCGTTGTTTACCTGAATTTATACATATAATACAAACTGATGGTATTCGTGCATCATATACAAAATCAACTTATTATGCTGTATGTAAATTTTTTGTAACTAATTTTCGTTTTTTTCTAAATCATTTTTTATATGTTTATAATAAAACAGGATTATCGTCTATCCGTATGGTATCTATTTTTTACCGTAAGCAAAGCATTTGAATTAATCGATACAATGTTTATTGTATTACGTAAATC